AACAGCGCTGTTTTGGTGTGCGTGTAAAGAAATGCACGGGCACTGCAGTATTTGAAGGCTGAGCCTCAGTCCGTGTTACTGCCAGGTTCTAACAGAGATTGAAAAGATCCTCACCTAGGGGGAATTAACAAAGCTCCACTGAAACGGTGTTAATTTAGACCAGAGATTGGGCTGGGGCCAAACTGCTCAACACATTCGGGAATCGTCCCCCAAAACAAAGGTCTAGCCCATTGTTCCTAAACCCTTATTAGCAGCAGAGCCTTCACGGCTTGTTCCATTTCCTCCCCATTCTGCTAATGCTCCTCTAAATCCAGAACAATAACAGAGCTGCTGAGATTTTGTTCTTCTAATGCTTTTCAGCGTTTTGCTTTTAGGTAATGCATAATACAACAGCCTCTTAATGAGACTTGGGAGATGTTTTGTAAGATGGAGGTCTCATGTTGAGCCTGTTTTGGTTAAGCCTATGATGTCTTTTGGGTGGTTTTTATTTTTTCCTCTCTCTTACTAGAATTATCTGTGCCTTGGGCATTTAAAAAGCACACATTGATGTGGGCCTAAGAAATTAATGCCAAATTGCAGATAATTGTTGAAGCTATCAGACTTGAGGCTCATGTAGCAGAGTTTTCCCAGGACAAGTGTGTTTTCTATTAGAGTTGATATCAATCTGTCAGAAGATGCTTTTGATTTTCAGAGTTTTTAGACTAAATAGTTGAGTAATCCTTGCTCTGTTCTCCCCCACTCTTTCTTCCTTTTCCTTAAGAAAACACCCTTTTTATTGTTAGCAAGATAATCTTGGAGCACATCCAGAAAGCTGCTGTCTCTTTCTGTGAAAGAATAGAAATAGCTCGCTTTAGACATGAGGTTATGTCGTGGAGAACTTCTGTTGGTAATGCCTCAGAGTTACTTGCTGAATTCCCACATTGGAAGCTTAACAGAGAGGTCTCAGCACCGCTGTCCCCAACCCAGCTCGTGGTGAGCCCTTTCATCCCGCTCGGAGTGGGCTGCGAGCCTGGATCTGCTGTCACAAGAACAGATTCTCCTGATAACATCTGGGAATTGCATTCAAATTGGAATCAATGCATCCTTTCGGCTGCGCTGCCCTCTCTTCCCCTGGTTTTCCTGACCAAAATTGCATTGCTGGGGCTAAGAGTCAGTATTTAACTCACAGGGTCTCTGTAACTGTGGTGGTTTACTTGTGTATCTGTTCACATACCAGGCAGATATCCTACTCTACTCATTTTTTGCTGCTCTGTGACTCATGAGCCTTTGCTATGGATGCATCCCCCCATTTCGGTTTTTAACTTCTCTTTTCTTCTTCTTTTTGAGTTGCCTGCAGTGGGATCTTGTCCCTGCTGTGTACCCAACAAGACAGCGGGGTCGATGACGGAAGCCCAGCCTGTCAGATCTGCCGCACAGCCTCGGCTCCATTGGCATGACTGGCCTGAAATGAAATCACTTTGAGTTTTATGTGGCCTCTTCCTTGTCAAAATCCCAGTGAATGTGGTTATGTGATGCCATTGGAATGACTCATTGCCATAATTACATATGTTCTAAGGGGTTATTCCCATTGTATTATTAAAAACTAGTGATGTTTGATTTTTGGCAGGGGCTGTCTTCCTTGTGTGATCTACAGATTTTGTCAATTAAATGAAGGAAAAGGAGATCTCCAAGGCTTCAGAGCAAGACTGGGCTTGAAATGAGAGCACTTCTTCAGCACGCAATTGAGCTACTTGGTTTTAACAGGGTAAAGGCAACATCAGCCATCTTACTCTCCCTGTTGCAGTGATTCAATGCAGAACACAAGGACAGAAGTGGGTTTCTTAGCCAGCCTTCAAAATCATCCCAAGCATGGCCAGAAGATACAGTAGATGGTTTATCACCACGGCAGTTTTCCCAGCTCAGCTCCTCAGGAATGGGTTTTCAGGGATAGAGCTCACAAGAGCTGAGGCAGGGCTCCTTGGCAACAAGCTCCAGGTTTGATGGCTCCTTAACAGAACAAAACAAAGTGATCCCAGATACGGTTGCCTTGGACCTGGACTTCCCAAAATGGTGATGGAAAGCAACAGGGGGAAGCTGGAGGGAGGAGAAATCTGATCTTTCTGACAGGAATGAAGTGGTTACTAGCAATAGAAGCTAAAGCATTTATGTACAAATGCTTAGTTTTGTGATTTGATTTTAATAGTCATGAAAAGTGATTTCTTTTGTGGAAAACCGAACATTAGCTTTGTGTGGCACAGGATTTGACATGGCCTTTTGGCCTAAATGCCAGGTTCTAAGCAGGCATTTGAGCTTGTGTAGGAAATAACATATTATCTGCCCGACTGCCTCTGTTTTCCCACTAAGATCCTGCTACTCTTTGAAAATCATGGAGATTCTGGCAAGCAGCTCCATCTAAACGATGGTTTGGCATTCAGCTGGGTATAATATATTATGTGTATAAATGCCATTGGTGTGATTTATTTATGGCGACTGGTTAAATACAGCTGGTATTTCTGTAGTTTTAGTAGAGATTTTAAACTGATTATACCTAACATCTCTCTCTGAGAGCACTATTGACTTAATACAATCTGTAAATACATGTAAAATCTCCCTTTTAGTGATCTCAGGCAATGTAATCCAAATAGTAGCATTAGGGGTAACCTGTTTCCCTATCCTACTCTGTTTCCTTTAATCAAAGCAGAGATTTCTTCTGAGTGAGAAATCTTTTTAACATAAACATGAGCTAAAAAGTGTATACATTGCCTCCATCTCCATGGGGGTAGAAAGCTGGTAAATTCTTGTTTGAGGAGTATACGTGCGCCCATTTAACTTGACTGTAGCTGATGAAAACTACAGATTTATATTACACAGAGAGGGTAAGAACATAATACAACCAACCTGTCTTTGGGGGAATTTGTCTGCTTTAGCTCCTAAATCTTCATGAATGAGATAGAAATTAAACAGTTCCAAACCCATGATTGTAAGCTGTTAACATTTTATTCCTCGCCCTTTACCCCCATTGCATGGGATGAATTACCCCAAAGGCTCTCTCTTTCTGGACACTTTTGGTTAGAGCTGGGATTTCCTTGCAGTTTTGGGTGAATAAAGCAAACGAAGCTTGTTCAGCAAACCCATGTATTTATTTATTTGTTTAAAGAAGCATATTTTACAGTGATGCCATGGAGAGAACACCACAACAGATCTTGTTTGGTGGGCTGAAAGAGAGCGTTCGTGTGCATGGGAGTTGAGATGACACCAGCCTATGTAAGGAAGTCTCTGGCTTGGACTGTTGAGCTCAGTGCACAAATCACCTTGGTCAAAGGTTTTCTAAATTCAGAAGTGAACCAGCACAAATCTTGAGCTGATTGAATACCAAGAAATTGGATTTATTTTTAATCCTTTTTTTTCCCCCTAATTTTTCTAAAACAATTTAATTTCAATATCACCCATACTGAAAAAATCGTGGATATTCTTAATACGCATTTTAAACTTTCCTTTGCCTTTGGCCCTTTTTCTTCCCATTTTGCTATGAAAAGGGAAGAAAGAAAAGGCCACGACAGAAAGTAGTTTGTCAGTTTATCTAGAAAACTCTTGAGAGTTCTATAGAACAGGTTGTGTTGATCTGTTACATGCAGTTCAGTTTTGAAATCATTGTGCTAATATTGCCTTGAGATACGGAAGGGAATCCAGTCGGTTAACAGAGCCTCTGTGTACCAAACCTTCCTAATGCACTCTCTCTTTCCCCTAATCCTTGTTGAGAACTGGACTGAGATACTGCAGCAGGAGGGAGGAAGGAGTTGTTTATGAATTAGCAAGCTGAGGTTCATGAAAGGGTTACTGATTATTGCTGCTAAAAAGCGGAAGGGAAAAACGGTTCTGCTTACATACAACACCCTGGCACAAACAAAATACTCATCTCACAGGCTAGCTGAGGCTGGAGAATCAAGTGAGATCGGATCTTTCAGCTGGGAGGCTTTCAGGAATCGTTTGAACATGATCCATAAACAACTCGAAAGGATGACTTTGAAGAACCTCTTTCTCTCCCTGCTTGGAATGCTGGTCGTTTATCATTGTGCTGAAATGGAACCCCCTTTAAAAGATATAACGGCTTCTTGTTTACTTAAACCCAAAGTGGATGATGGGCTGAAAGGTTCTGCTGCCAGCAGAGCAGTCACGGAGAGCTTGGTACAGCTCCGGAGCAGGAACAACTGTGCAGCTCCCACGTCCTGCACTGAGCCGAGCCAGCCGGGGTGAAGGGGGCAGAGTTCAGGCGTCCTCCGCCGGTGCCGAGTCCTCAGTGCGTGCCATGAACCACCAGCGGAGGTGGTATTCACCAGGTTTAGCTTTGGGGTGAGCTTTTCCCTGCGCATCGCCTCACCAGGGGAGCGAGGAGCTTCAGCAGCACGTCACTGATCCACCCCACGCACATCCCCACTCCATCCCTCAGGGCCAGAGGGCTTTTGCTGAGCTCTAGAGGAATGAAACGGCTGCACACGTTTATATGGAGGAAGCACGTTTTACACCAGAAGGGAAACTGAGCAGGATGCCACCTCGTGCCACTGCTGAGGGTAGAGCTCTCCATGCAGGGAAGCACACGGGTCTCACTACGCCTCCATCCCGCACGGTCCTCATCCCAGTTCCTCGACCCAGTTGTCGGCTCTTGCCGCGCAGGAGCGCTTTGTGCTGAATCCAGGGAATTCCAGCCGTGCAGACCGGGAGCTCCTACCAAACCTAGCAGTGTGCTTCTCTTCTGCAGAGCCCAAACTGTGCTTTCCCCCTCCTGCCTGCCTCCCCTCCCGCTACGTCCCTGCGTGGTGTCCGGACAGAAGGACAAGCGCTGTCCCTAGCCCGGGATGGAGTCCTGCTGCTGTGAGTGGAGGAGCGGAGTCACAGCGCTTCCACAGCCTGTTGTAACCTTTCCTTTTCTCCAGCTGCTGCATGTTAACAGCATCCTTCGGGGGGGGGGGGAAATTCCTCAGGGGCTCCGTGGAGCACAGCTGGGGTCCTGCGGGCACAGGACGGCTGGTGGGTGGCTGCAGTGCAGCTGGCAACGTAATCTGGGCTTTTCTTAGAGCTTTGGTGAGTTTCCCTTCCACAAGTGAGTCTCTGTCCTGTGGGACACCAGCCTCCATAGGGGCCAAGGCATGAACCACACACTCAGGAAGCTGGTTGTCATTTTGGGGTTTTTGGGGTTTTTTTTTGTTTGTTTTTAATTTGAAATAACTCTTTTGAAGCAGATTCAGGGCAGATACCACTGACCTCTTACCACAACCGGTTAACATGTATTCGCAATGATAAAGTCATACAGCTTAAAACACAAAAGAAAGGGCGGGGGGAAGAGAAAGAGGCCACTGCCTTTGTGTGAGTCGGGGTCCCAGGCTGGGGAGAGCGGCCACATGGGTCCAGTCTCATCCCTGTGGCTGCAGCCGTGCTGCACTTGGGGCCATGCACCCGGTCTCGAGTTGAGGCCTTTGGTCATGAAGTCTCTGGGTCCTCTGCTGACTCGTACTCCACCTCTCCTCCCCGCAGCGTGCCTGTGGAGCCATGGGGAGATGAGCATCCCTCCGTGCGTGCTCCCACTCCTCTTCTCAGCAGCATACCTCCATGGTCCTGGGTGGTGTGGGTGTGTGCAGCCTCCTTATGCATTGTGTATGTGGTTTCTGTTGGGTCTGTGGGTCGGTCGGGGAGTATATGTCTGTCTTTCTGGACATGTGTATGTGTTGTGTAGCAGTGCTCTGGTTCAATAAAGCTTTCATATACATAGCAGCAATGAAGTCTTGCCATCAGGTGACATAAAGGGGCAGCTACTGGGCAGGGCTAGCGGATGTGGTGAGGACCGCAGCCCCTCTCTGTTTGCTCTTCCTCTTCCTGGTGCCAGACTTAGCGTCTTTGGTGTCTTTCCTATTCCTGTTCCCATTCGCATTATCTTGCTTTCCTTGCTCTTCCTTCCTCTTCCTTTTCCCTGCAGCAAAGCAAAGAGGCACCATGAGGCTCTCCAGCAGAACCCAGCTAGCCCATAGCCCACTGCTGCTGCTGGTGGCCAAAAGGTCCTGCTCCCCTCCACGTGCACGGAGGTGCTTGAGTGCTGCCCTATCTGCCAGTCTGTGCTCTGCACTGTGAGCTGCTGCCTAAACACAAACGGGGAGGAAGGGTCAAATCTGGGTTTAGCTTTGTAATTGTCAGTCTCCAGCAGAAGTGTGAACACTTGCACTTCTCCGGGGCTGCATACCAAGCCCCTGAGCTAATGCTGCTGCGTACATCAGAGGAACAGCTTGGCCACAGTGGTGTTAGTCACTGCTCTCAGCACTCAACCCAGCTGCAAATCTTGTCCATCCCATCAGAGAGTGACCAAACCACCATTCATCCCAAAAACACTCAAATTCCTGGGAAAAACACAGACCTAAGCACTCTGGGAGAGGAGGAGATGAGTCCCACCACTGCAGCGCACAGGCATCCAGCTTTGGCTGGAACTGGGTGATCCCAAGGTCCTTTCCAACCCAAACCATGCGCGCTCACCTTCGGGGCACTGGCTCTTCTGCACCGTGCATCGCCGCACCTCCGTGGTGGCAGGACACAGGGACACGTCTCCGGAGGGAGCCTGCAGAATCCGCCGCGTTCGGTCTTCGTTGCCCTTCTTGAAGCCACAGAGCTTCCTCTTCTTGGAGCAGGGCCCCCAGGGCCCCCACTCACTCATTTCACATTGTGCTGCCAGGTAACAAGAGAGGCCAGTGGTGACTCTCGTTTCCCTGCCCCATCAGCTTCTCCCCCACTTTAGGCTTGGATAGATAGAATCATAGAATAGGTAGGGGTTTTCCAACCCTTAAGATCATCCAGTTCCAACCCCCCTGCCATGGGCAGGGACACCTCACACTGAACCATCTCACCCAAGGCTTCATCCAACCTGGCCTTGAACACTGTCAGGGATGGAGCATTCACAGCTTCCTTGGGCAACCCATTCCAGTGCCTCACCACCCTAACAGGAAAAAATTTCCTTCTTATATCCAGTCTAAACTTCCCCTGTTTAAGTTTTAACCCGTTACCCCTTGTCCTTTCACTACAGTCCCTAATGAAGAGCCCCTCCCCAGCATCCCTATAGCCCCCCTTCAGGTACTGGAAGGCTGCTGTGAGGTCTCCACGCAGCCTTCTCTTCTCCAGGCTGAACAGCCCCAGATGTGCATTTCCCCAGCAGTTTCCTAAGTTTTCAAGCACCCCCTTCCTTGCCACTGTCTCTGAGGGGTTTGTTTTATCCCCTAACCCACACTCCATCAATTCATGCGACTGGACCCAGCAGATGCCCAAGCATCACTTACCAGGACTGCTGCACTCCATGGTGCCGTTGGCAGCAGAGTAGCCTTCGGGGCATGTGACGTAGCATCTCCCTTTGTGCAAATACAAACCTTCCTTACATTTTGTGCAAAAGTTTCGACTGAAACAGGACTCACAGTTCTCAATTTTGCATTCTGTGGGGGAAAAACAACCAACCACAAAGGCATCATGAAGCCTGATGTGAACAAACAGCTCAGGAAGCTCTTGACTGCTAAGCAGGGTTCAGTCCTGGCCCCAAGGGCTCTGCCAGCAGCCATGGCAAGTCTCGGAATGTCCTGCCAGGCCTGGCTGTGTCTTTGCATCCTTCCCTGGTACAGGACAGAGCTACTGTGCTGAGGCTCCCATAGGCAGCAGCAGCTCCTGCCAGATCCAAATCAGGATCAGGGTGGAAAAGGTTTGGGCTGATATTCAGCTTGAGCAACACTCAGCCAGAGTGGGACAGTGCAAAGAATGAAGTCCAGTGCCAACAGCTCCAGATGAAGCTACAATATGGGCTGCAAAGAAAGGGGGTTAGATGGAAATCTGGCCACGAGGGTGGTTTGCATGAAACTGAAGGGAAGTGATCCTATTTTTCCATGTCCAGCTTCTTTCTGTTGCTCTGGCTGAAAGAGGCAGCCCCAGGCCAAGGATCGTGGTTCAGAACGATGCTTGGCTATGATGAACGGGCAGAGGAGGTGGAAAAGGTAATTGTGCGAGCAGTACCTTAAAAGCAGAAAGCATCTTCCCCTTCTCCCCGTAGAGAAGGAGGGGGTCAGTCTGACAGCATAAATTATGGGGTTATTCCCTGGGTTAATTGGTGCCTTCTGCCCTTTGATACATCTCACCTCGCTGGAGGAGGCCCCTCAAAGCAATGCCACCCTCCCACGTTGCACCCATTCCCTCCCATACTCACTGATGCACTTGTTCATGTCTGTATTGCGAAGGCCAAAGTATCCCAGGGGACAAGATGGTAGGCAAATCCCAATTTGCCGGATATCATTCCTCTCCAGAAGGATGAAGAGTTTGGGGGAGCATCTCAGGCACCCATTGAACTCGGAGCACAGGTCGCAGCCTCTGGCACAGCCCTGACTCAGCTCGGTGCTAACTGGAAAGGCAAGAGGAGAGGCAGTGATTAGTGCCTGTGTGCATGGCTGGGCTCTGCACGCGTTGGGGTTGACCCCAAAACACCATCAGGAAGGGCAGGGACCGAGGCAGGCCAAGGACCTGATGTGCTCCCAGCACCGCTCCCGATGCCCACAGGCACCAGCATCAAGCGCGGGAGCGAGGGTCCCAACAGCAGCAGCAGCACCCAGAAGCAGCCACCAGCTCAAGAGGGTCCCAGCTCTGTCTCCCACCATGCAGACACCCACAAGGGGACACGTATCTGGGGGGGACCATCCCTGCCATGTCCCCTCTTGGAGCAGGCGGTGCCACCCCAGCTGAGCCATGGGCACAGTGCAGGACAAGCGGGGACCAGAGCCAAGGGGTGCTGGAGCAAAACCATCTGACTAATTCTGTGCTGTGCTTCGAGCCAGGCCGCATCCCGAGCTAGATCTCGCCGTGACCCTGCTTATGTTAACTATATCTGGCAGTGCGGGAGATTTCACTGCCCCCAAAATAGAGATGTGTTCTCAGCTCCTAAATCCAGTCCAAGAAAAATACTCAATCCCATGTCTTGAGAGAGTTTTCTGCTTTTAATTATCATATAAAAATGCTGCTTGTTTTGAAACCAATAGCATTCTTTGCAGGCTAGAATGCAGGTTATTTTTATTAGTTTATTATGCAAGCAGTGTCCTTGTTTATAGAAAAGCTGTGGATTTAAAAAGATGTATTCTTTTAAATACCACGTTTATTACCCCTCCAAAGCAAGCGTGGAGCATCACAGCGTTCACATGCCAGTCCAAGAGGTAGCAAAACTTTCCTGTCCCCCTCCAGTGACCCGAGACCCCAGCAGCTCCCCTGCTGCCTGTCCCAGCCCCATCGCTGGGTCCTCCCTCAGGCATGGAAAGTGACACAGAAAGCAGAGGGGGTCCCCATCCCGGCGGATCCTCAGTGCAAGGGGGTTTGCTGGGTCTGCTCTGGGATGTCCCCTCGGGATTCTGGGCCCTGGCCCCTAGTGTGGAGTGACTCCCAAGGGATGCGGCCCCATTCCTCCTGCAGCGCTGGGCCGCGGAGCCAAGGTCTGCCTCTATGGCAAAGGTATAAACTGGGCCCTCGCTGGAAATTGCACTTTATAGCATTAGGCATGACGTCAAGTTTCCCTTGTTCTCACAGGGCTCAGCAGTCCCAGTTTTAATAGAAAATCATTTTTATATAATCGAATTTCAACCAGTTTTAATGTAAAACAGTTCTACAAGCGAGCTTACGTAAACGAGGGCAAACCCGTGCCGCTGCTCTTGCGCCGACGCAGCCTGGTTGCCCTGCGTGGAGCCCCAGGCTGGGACCAGCCGAGCATCATCCAGCCTGGAGGGGTGCTTAAACCCCCATGCACCTCGGGTTGCACCGGGCCACCCCTTGGCCTGCGTCAGGTCCAATGTGGGGCAGTGGAATGCACATCTCTGAATGGGAGTGGGATTTCGGGCTGCTCCAAGGGCACCCCTGGCTCTCTGCGTTGGTAAACCGCGTTCACCGTGTGCCCGAGGCGCAGAGCACCACGAGAAGGAGTAGGGAAGGAAAGCGTTTCATACATACTTCGTCTTTGCCTCTTGCCCTTCGCCACTTTGCTGCTGCCCGTTAGATCCATGGAGCTTAGAAAAACCACCACCACAAACAGTCCAAGCTGCATAGTAACTCTCCAGCGCTGCAGCCCCTCCGTCGCAGGGTGGTCGGAGGAGCCCGCTCCGCAGCTGGGGATCTCTGTCTGCCGCTGCTAAAACGTCTCGGGCGGGATCAGAGCTGAGAGTCTCTGCGCGAAGCCCGGTGCAGGACCACATCCACAAACCACGCCAGCGCCAGCGAGCTTAGGTAGCAGGTAACATGGCTCTACCTTCATCCCCGTGAGGAGCGCAGGAGCTTGGCTCTAGTCCCATCGGGGGGGCTCTGCCAGCGAGCGTTAGCTGCTTGCGGTTTCCAAGCGCGCTCGCAGGGACTGCAAAGGAAGAGGAGAACAGATTAACTCAACAGCCGACATCGTTCCCAGAGTGCTTGGGCTCGGCACCGCAGCGGGCAAGCACGGAAGCTGTGGGGTGAACCGGGGGAGCTGCACATAGAGGGTGCAGGCAGACGGCGGCCCCCGGAGTGGGGCGAACCGCCCCCCAACCTCATCCATAAGTCACTGCGTTGCTCAATAACCGAGCGCGCGCCGCAGCGCCCGACGCGGCTTTGCCATCTGCCGACGCTGCGTACGGCTCGAGCTGGAAGTTGTTTAGAAGAGTGCCAGTCCCCCCTCGGCCGCCCCTCCTCGAGGAGCAGATGGCCTCTGCGCGCTGCCAAGCGCACAAGATGTTTCCCATCAAGTGGGCACCTCTGGGGCTGGTCGTCGAGCCGAGCAGAAAGCGAGCTGCAGCCCCAAAGCCGGAGCCGGGGCTGTCTGGGGACAGGGCGGGATCATCCCGCGAGCTGCCCAAAACAGCGCGCTCCTGCTCGGAGGGAATTTCCAAACCTCCCAGTTCCCATTGCCCCGGAGCGGCAGGGAAGGGTCAGCGCTGCCTGTGCACGGTGAGATGCCCAATTGCTTTGCATGAGCGTCTTGGAGAGCAAAGGGAAGCCTGGTGCGGCAGCAAGATGTTGGATGGCAACCAGGGCTGCAGGCACAGCCTGCGTGGGAGCCACCGTGTGCCCTGTCCTCGCCCTGGAGCATCCAATTCCTTGCTCCTGCTCCAGGGCAGAGGCAGTGCAGGCAGGGCCCGTGGGGAGCAGTGTGATGCTCTGTGGCTGTTGGGAAGGAAGGGCAACCTCTGGGCTGCACCAAGAGCTCTGGTGCTGCCAGGCAGAGCCGTGCTCCTCTCTGCAGCTGGCAGAGGGAAGCCCTGCCAATGGCTGCCATTGTGTGGGAATACAGGCGACAACATTCACTCTGTGAACTCAAATGAAACAGAAAATGGGTATAATCCCTTTATAATAACTGCGCAGCCACCGATGCCCCAAACGGCCAGCAGTGATGGTGCTGGAACGAGGCCCAGCTGCAGCCCGTCTGTATGACAGACGTGGGCCCTGGGGTTCCAGGCCCTTTCCATGCCCACCATGGAGTGGCCAAAGTTGGTTATGGCCACAGCAGCAAAATACCTGGTGAGAGAGGGCTGCCCGCAGCATCCCGACTCAGCTGCTGAAGGGGGATGTGACCGGGTACCACTGAGCCTTGCAGCAGCACACGCTTCGATGCCAAGATGTGACCCCGAGCGGGCACCTTGTGGCAGCTTTGGCTCACGTGCACCCCAACGCCTTTGACCTCTTTGTGTCCCTGCAGTGATTGCGGCGCTGCTGGGGCAGGAGCACAGCGCTGCCCATGTGCTTGTCCTTACAGCCCCCAGCCCAGCCGCAGGGGTCTCCAATACGTAATGAGTTGCTTGTGTAAGCACGGACTCGTTCTGCACCTCCAGGGCTGTTTGCTGCGAGCTGCTTTATAAACACTGGCAAGTGCTTGAGCTGGGCTGTTGGGAGCGTTGAGCAGAGCAGAGAGGGGATCCCAACCCCAGCCCCGCAGCCTCCCTCCGCACCCTGCTGATGTGCAGGGACCTGGGGTGAAGCAGCCAGGAGAGGAAGGATCTTGCGGATGGATGGCAATGCACAGCATGGCAATGCGCAGCGTGGCACAGACAGAGGGGGCCCCATGGGTGCTACCTGGTGTGCGCAGAGCAGCGTCCCTAAATGAGTGCCGAGCGCCAGCAGCTCTGGAGGGAGCACGGTGCTGCCCCTTGCTTTAATCACAGCGGTTACAGGTGAAGCGCAGTCACAACAAGCACAGGCTGAACCTGCCCCGGGTGTTGACACAACACTCACAGTTTGGGCAAAGTCCCCTCGGGGTGGGGACAGCAGCAGGGATATTCGGATGGAGCAAACACAGCCCCAGCCTGCCAAGAGCCAGCGTGGAGCTTGTGCTGCCTCCACAGACCCCGTCTCTCAGGGCTCGCTCAGTGCGAGGGCAGGGAGGTGCCATGGGAAACAAGCACCCACTTTTCCCTCCTTGTTTCCTTGCTTTCTAGCCCAAAGACAGCCGCAGCTGCCCGCTCAGCACAGGAAAGCTCCCTGCATCCTGGATGCTGCCCATTAGCACGATCCCCGTGTTTCAACACTTCCCTGCAAGCACCCAGGGTCTGCAGCGTGCCCACCAGCGGAGGCTGCAGCACAAGGGCCGGGCTTCCAGCTCTTCCCACCCTCACCTCAGGACACAGATTATGCCTCTTTCAGCTATTGCAGCCATCGGTCAAGCTCAGGTTGCTGCAAACAATTTCCAGTCTAAACATGAGCAGGATTTATGCCATTATCCCATCGACAGGAAGGATTTGGGATAACCTGAGTTGCTCTGAATTCATTACTGGAGAGACCTGGCCCCTGCATCCGAGATGACAGTAAGCCTTGTTTGCAGTTCCATCAGGATAAATTGGTCCTTGGGAGCTCCAATGCAAGCCAGAAAATGTAAACCATCCAGATAATTTACCATTAGTCCTCCTACACACAAGGTGAGAAAGACCAACATTATATCCCCAGGATATTCAAGACCTAATCCTCAATAACTAAATTGCTGATATATTGCCTCTTGCTGAAGGTATCAGGCTAGCCATAATGTAAACGGGCTCTCCAAAGCTTTCCTGCGTCTGGGAGAGAAGGACCAGATGCTTGTGTGAGGGCTGGAGGCAGGACCAAGTCTGATTGCAGCAGCAGCAGTAATGAACCCCCAGGAAGTGCCAGGTCTGCTGCCAGCAGCGTCCGGGCATCAGCTCTGAGCACAGGGGGATTGGGGCTTACAGGGCCTGGGGCTGGGTAGAGAACTTGAATTTCACCTTGGCAGTCTATCGAGGGGTATCTTGTATGTCTTGAATAAGCAAGAACAGGTCTCAGAAGTGTCTTTGCCTGCAGGAGCTGGGGTTTCGCAGGGTTTCACCGGGGTTGGTTTGGTGGCAGCAGCATCTCAGCCCCAGGAAAGGCTCCAGGGAGGTTGGTTGTTGTGGTAGCAACCAGCAGATTCCCAAACCTGCCTTTAAGTTTCTATCGAGCTCCTCAAATAATGACAATGGCATTGGATCTGTATCAGAGGTGCAGGGAGGGGAGCGGGAGGAGGAAGAGAAGGAGGAAATGAGAGCGGGGTGCTATGGAGAGGAGGACCACGAGGATGGGGTCCTCCTGGGGTCCTCCTGGGGTCACTGGGGCACATAGTGGTCCTCGCCCCAGGCACAATGAGCCAGCCAGAGCAGGGGGACAAATCCCAGTGGGTACCACAGGAGAGGTAAAGGAGACTATGCAGGGGCAGGAGGGGACCAGCATCAGGACCAGCCATCCCATCCAAGGGTGGTTCAGCTCCCCAGTGCCCACCAAATCCCCTGGCCAGCGTCCAGCAGCAGCAGGATGGGGCAATGATGGTGCAGGGATCAGGAGGCACCGCTGCCACCGTGAGCCCCTGCACCCTCCACAGTCCGGCCCTGCCCTGGAGAGCATCCGAGCTGCTCCTCCATCACGGCTGAGCCTCGGAGGTGGGACACAGCCAGCAGGAGAGGAGGCATCTTTCAGACAAGCAGGAGCCCACACACACGCACGTTTATCTCCCTGTGTGCCTTGCCCTCCCTTGGCAAAAGCCTCCGGCAGGCAAAGCTTCCCGAAGAGAAGCTTGCAGCCCCACGTGTGCCTGTGCAGCTCCCCAGCCCAGCGAGGGAGCAGAGCCAGCGGGCTCCCAAGTGCACATCCTCCCTTGTTCCCCAGCACCAGGAGACACGGGTGTCAGGAACCAGCCTCGGGGGGGTGTGGAGCAGGAGCCTCATCCAGTTGGAGCATCTCCAGAGCTGGCCTCATTGGGCAGCAGCAAGGGAAAGGGGCAAAGAGGTGAGCACTGAGGAGTGGCTCCTCGGCACAAAACCCCACCGGGCCAGGGCTGCACAGGAGCTGCAAGCTGGGATGCCGAAGGACCAGCAGTACCAAGCCCACACCTCATTCAGCCCTGTGGCACTGTTATTCCTATTTCCAGGCACACAAAGATGGACGCAATGCTTGTGCTTCCCCAACACAATGTCTCCGCACTGCCTGCATGGTCCTGCCTGCTCTGAGTGACCCCCATGCCTGCAGCTCCCTATCTGCTCTGCACTGGGAGGAAGGCAGTGCAGAACCACAGGGAGGAGAGTTGGGAATTCTCTTTGGGAAAGTCTCCCCTTCATGCTATCATTCCAAGCAGTGTTTCATAGAATCACAGAAACAACCAGGTTGGAAAACACCTTTAAGATGACCAAGTCCAACCTTTACCCCAGGACTGCCAAGCCCACCCCTAAACCCTGTCACTGAGGACTTGTCCCTGTTGTCAAGGCACAGACAACGCTGTAGGAGCATGTGAAACCCTGCGTGAAAGCAGGTCCCATGCACGCACGGCTCGGTCATCGCGCCTGCCACAGGGTGTCTCACGCTCCTCCAGCCGGCAAACATCTCTGCACATGCACAGGCAGAGCCACTTTGTTCTGCTTAATCCTTGAAGCAATAAAAGCAGGCTGCATTAAGTCACATTTCCGAAGCAGAAGGTCTTCATTTGAGCCCCTCCCCGAGCGCCAAGTTCTGCAGGATCCCCAACCCATCAACTGCGCTGAGAGAAATGAAATCATAAAAGCCAATCTGGCAGCAGAGTTCTCCGCAGCATTGTTGAGGTCTGACTCCTTCCACCAGCTTCTGCGCTGCATTCCCCGGATCTGCGGAGCCGTGCTGAGAGCTGCTAATGGGGAATACACTGAGGAGAGGCTCCTGCCCCTGGCCACCCCTCTGTCCCAGCCTGGAGCATGGAGATGCTCCAGGGTTCTGCTATAGGAGCACCCCTGCTCCTTGCTCCGCTCCTTGCGCAGTGCCTGGCACAGTAGCTGCTCCGAGTAATGCTGTGATTAAGAGTGCCACAGGCCTCTCTCCGGGAGCGCTTGTGCTCCAGCATTGTAAAACATCAGGAAATCTTTTACTGGGGGATTTCCATTACCCTCTTGCTGGAGCAGAGAGGCTGCGTGCTGGGCTGCAGAAGAAGGAAGCAGCGAAGCCCCGGAGCAGGCGCTGGAGTCATCCCGGCAGGAACAGCTCCAGTGCCACAGACAGGAGCTGCTTGGGGATTTAGGTGCAGTCACTGATAAAGCAAGCCTATTCCTATGAGGTGCAACGTGAGGCAGGTTTAAGCCTCCTCAGTTCAATAACCAACTTACCAAATGCCAACCAGGGACAAATCGTACTAAACCGGCAGGAGCCGAAGCGAATTTCAGACCAGGAGCTGCAAACCGGTCCATTTCAGAGCATCACCCAAAACCTTGCTCTTCTGCCAAAGGGGCTCCTCACCAACCCTAAAAGCCCTATTGCCATGCAGGGGTGTGCTCAGCAGAGGTGCAGAGTACAGCCCCAACTCCTGGAAACCCTGAGTGTGCCAGCAGGAGGGTCTGATGCAGCACAGCCGGGGCTGCTGAGGCTCTCATCCCATTGGAGTGTGCACACATTCGGCTCAGTACCCAATTCCCCTCTTTTTCCAGTGTAACCGAAGGGCTTACAGCAACCTTCCACATCTCTAAACGCAGCCTTCCTGAAAGCAGTTCCCAGGGCTTACAGGAGTAGCCTCAAGCTGCTGCGCTAAGCCCCTTCTCCGGGCAAAAACAGAGACCAAGACCCTAAACAGCCCCCGGGGCCTTCTGCTTGGCCATGTGCAAAGGAAGCATCTGCCAAGTGTGAGCTTCCTGCAGGGATTCCCGGTGAACGTCACTGGGAAACCTGAGCCCCGCAGAGCCAGGAGCACTGATTTCAGCAGCGGGAGCAAACCCAAGTGGGACAAATAACCGGGAGGCTCAGCTTTGGGCATGGGGCAGGGCAGGACCAGCTGGAACAAGCACAAGCTCTGCCTCTTTAAGAGGTAACAGCATCCAGGTCAGAGGGAGCAAGCTCTGAGCTCTGGCATGGCTCAGGGTGGCTTGCCACAAAGGCCATCCTACAGCTGGTCCACAGCACCTGGCTGCAACCCCAAAGGATCATCCTCAGAGGCAGGTTGTGATGGGTACGGCTGGAAGGCTGGGTATGTGTTCATAGAACCATAGCATCCCAGCTTGGTTTAGGTTGGAAGGGACCTTAAAGCTCCTCCAGCTCCAACCCCTGCCACAGGCAGGGACACCTTCCACTGGAGCAGCTTGCTCCAAGCCCTGTGTCCAACCTGGCCTTGAACACTGCCAGGGATGGGGCAGCCACAGCTTCTCTGGGCACCCTGTGCCAGCGCCTCAGCACCCTCACAGGGAAGAGCTTCTGCCTAAGAGCTCATCTCAGTCTCCTCTCGGGCAAGTTAAAGCCATTCCCTACAGGCCCTTGTCCAAAGCCCCTCTCCAGGTTTCTTGTAGGCCCCCTTTAGCTATTGGAAGGCTGTTGTAAGGTCTCCTCTGAGCCTTCTCCAGGCTCACCCAGCCCAGCTCTCTCATCCTGGCTCCAGAGCAGAGCTGCTCCAGCCCTTGGAGCATCTCCATGGCCTCCTCTGAACTCACTCAAGCAGCTCCACATCCCTCTTGTGTTGGGAGCCCCAGAGCTGAACTCAGGACTACAGAGGGGGCAGTGTCAGGCAAAGACAGCACTTCCCTTCCCGAGCAGAGGACAGGTTGTGCTCAGACAGCCCTGGGGAAGGTGTCTCTGCCTTCCATCCCCTGCCTCTCTTGCCTGCACGGTCCCCACTATGCTCAAAGCCCAGGGATGACCTGACCCCAGTTCCCTGCAGCCTCACAGCCCCATAGAGCAGATGCCAGCTCAAATGAACCTCGGGTGATGGCAATGCGAGGTTTATGCTCTGCCTTTGCCTGTGCTCAGGGGGTCACATCCGTGCCCCTGCACCCCGAGCTCTCTCCCTGCTGTGTCCCTCAGGGTGGTGCTGCTGCTCTCGCAGTGGCTGCGGAGCTGATCCAGCTGAAAGGAGCCTTTTTTCCAGGGTGGTTTCCAGGCCCGCTGGGATTTCTGCCCTGCTCCCACCCAAACCCACGGCCCTGGCCCTGCAGTGGGGATCAGGTGCACCATGGAAGTCCATGGATGGACTTTGAACAAAGTCATTCCCATTGAAGAACGCTCCAGGCTGATGTTTCAGGGGATTCCTGTGGGATCTCAGCATAAACCTGGCCACCACAGCAGCGCTGTAAGCACTGCCCCTGGTTCAGAGACCTCCAGGTAACAAGGGTTTTTGCATTGGAACCCACCAAGCCCCATTCATTCAGGAGCGTGAAGGCTCCAGGCCTGCCATGGTGAGCAGTGTTTGCTTTGGCTGGTATTGCCCTGTTTTAATGCCTTTTACTGGAAGACACCCCTCCAAACCCAAAGCACATCACCTGAGCACCCCTCATCCATCCCCAGGACCACTCAAGGAAACACCTACAAGAAACCCCATCAGTGCAGGGGTGCCCATTCCCCAGCTGCCTGCACCCACGTCTCGCAGCCCCCTGGCTCAGAGGATCAAGAGGGCAGAGGCTGAAACATCACCTTGTCAGGGAGCCGCATCCCCGCCTGGCTGCGGGAGCACACCGCGGACTGCCCCGATCCCTCGCTAACCCACCGGCTCAGCAGCCCAGCTCCGAGATCCAGCAGCATCAAGGTGGGGTGTTAACGCACAGCTCTCACCATCACCGGGATCACTGTTAAACCCTTTCTTTCCCCACTGATCCCGCAGGGAGTCCGTACTTACCCCGCGCTCCCCGGGTGCCTGCCGTGCCCCCATGGGTGCCGTCCTCTGCGGGGTGCAGCCGCAGGGATACTGAGCCTGCTCAACCGCCCCGTGCCCTCATTGCTCAGCTGCGGGCACGCTCCCGTCCCTGGCAGCCAGCGGGGAAGCAGGCAGGGCACTGCCGCCCCTGCGCTGCGCTCGGCGGGACCCTGGGGCTGATCCAGGACCAGCAGCGAGCTCCAGCGAACGGATCAATGGTGCCACCAGCTCCCCGTGCCCCCTTCCCCTCTCCGGGGAGGCAGAACAGCGGCGGGGGCCAGCGTGCAGCAGCCCAGCCTCCCGCAAAGCCCCCCGCACACCTTGGGAAGGGGCGGGGGAGACGGGGATCGCGACAGATCGCGCTGTGATTCCTCACAGCTCTCATTGTCTGGACTCATTACCCACGTTGCACAAGGCAAACCCGCAAGTCGGATGCTGACAAGGCTGGCGCTCCTCATTAGCAGCCCGCATTGCAACAGCTTCATCTAAACAAGCCCGCATTCGGAAACCCTTACCTCTGACTTGTCACTCCCTCATCCCTGCTGCAAAGGCTCTACGGGTGCCTCAGGTTTAAACCACTACAAGCCCAACTACAACAATCCTCGGCTCCTCCAGATAAAGTTACACGCACGTTTCTGTCAAAAACAATGAGGAATCGATGCATGGCGAGTTCATGGAGCGGTCTGGTGCGTTTGGGGCCGGGGCTTTGGTTCGCTTGCTTTCCTAAAGCAGGTTTCTAACAGCTTCGCAGAGGAACAAACCCTTCAGTGATGTGCAGGATTTCAGCTCGTAAAGATCGCCCAGGCTAGTTCCTACTCCATCAGCCCACGCTGCTCCCTGCGTATGCAAAGCAGAAAGTATGTGATCATATCAGAGCGATTTGCACATTAATAAATCCTGGTCTCAATGCCGTAGACTCCATCCCCATCCAGCGGGTAGGGGCTTTTTATTATTATTATTACCAGAGTATCCAGCTTTGTAAAGGCATCTAGTGCAAACTCCTGCATGAGGGAATTCCACCCCACTAGTACCACCTCCTAAGACAATATCCAGCCAAAATATTGTGACTGTTGCAAAACCCGGACTGGAGCTCCACAAAGGACCTTCCAGTGTTGCTTGCAGAGCCAACAGGGTCTCGGTGAATTACTGCAGAATGACACACCATCTAGTTGCCTTTGTAGTCTGCTTTATTTATGACACTTAATTCCAAGTTATTACTAACATTTCAGTGGTAACTGGCACATGAAGTCATCGGCTGTCACAACTGCATCTGTTAATAAACATGTCAAATATTAAAAGCAGCTTATTATCCTCTGGAGCGGGGAAAGCACTAAGGCAAAGGGCTTCAAAGCCTGGATATTTTTCCATCTCTGGCTCTGCAGCAGGAGGAAACGCTCACGCTCAGGAAAGCAGTGTGACTGCGGTGGGGCTGGCCTGGGATACCTGCCCCTCATCACACCTGAGCAGCACGGGAGCTTTCCTCCTGCTGCTGCTGTCAGCTGCCTTTCCCTTCTCCGATGGGATGTGGGATGGACCCCAGCTTCACATGGGTGCATAGGGGAACACAGGAGTAGCCCCAGTGTGCTGGCCCCCCATAGAGGAGGCAGAAGGGCCCCAGCCACTGGGGAGCTGTGGGGCGATGAAGGCCCCCATCCCCTCTCATGCCCCCTGCACCGCAGGCTCAGGCAGGGAGCTGGTGCTCCCGGGACACATGCCATGGGACACATGGAGCCGTGCTGGACCTTGTCCCGCTGTCTCTCTGTACAAGCCATTAATAGGAATTGCTGTCTGCCCACTTCTCAAGTGGCTGCAGCACCGTGTGGGTCCCTCTGCATGACTGACTGACCCTCATCCCTGGCTCTTGTGGGGCCGATGCAATGCCCATGGCCATGGGGCTCTGGTACCCTGATGGGTGTATGGCTGGGTGGCAAGCTGCTGGCCAGCCTCTGGGCATGCTATCAGTGTCCTGGGGATGGGGTTTGCTTCCCTTCAGCTCCCCCAAGAACCTAGATAGCACAAGCAGGTTGTATGTTCCTGATCTGCAGGGTCAGGGCTCACTCCCACCCAAGAGATGCAGTGAGAGGGGTGCCACATCCTCCCTTCCTTACCATTTCAGAGCATCCTCCTCAGTACATGAGGATGTTGTATGCCTTCTCCCTGCTTTGCTGAGCTACCCGTGCTCTTGGCCTCTGCAGCTGGCGAGGAGGCTGCTGCTTCTTCATGTTCACTTTCCCTCTCTTGGGAATCTCAGGCAGAAAGCTTGCCCCTCTCTAACACTTTCCTTGCCCCATTGCCTCTGCCTTTCTCTTGTGGAAGGTAATCCTCAGGCTTTCAAAGGGATGCTTCAAAGTCAGTGCCAGCATCTTCTAAACTCTCTACATGGCGGCTATTTGTCCATAACCGTGTGGTTTACATAAAGCCCAAACCAGTGCCTGGCAGTGGGCAGGAAGCAGGGAGCTGCAGAGGGAGATGCACTGAAAGCATCATCTTTACCTTCCCCCCTTTGTGTGCCAACGTCTCCAAGCACTGAACACGTTCCACTCTTTATTTTAGGTGTAAGATCCGCTCGAGCAGATGCCATAATTCTTCTGGAATGAGTAAAATTCTGTCTTGGTTTCCAAGTGCTCCTAGGGACAGCCCAGGACAATGCGCTGATGGGTGAGACACCCATGCCAAGCAGGGTGACTCACTCTGCACTGCTTACTAAAGTCTTGAAGCAAGGAGGAGCAGCAGTATCTGCACTTGGTCCTCCCCAAGCTCACAGGGCTCCTAGCTGGAAGCCAGAGGGCACAGGCTCTTTAAAGGGCTGTGTTGGGTCCTGAATCCCACTGTGGGTCCCATGCTGGAGAGATGGGGCAGGTCCCTTTGATTTCTGCTGCCCACAGGTCCCTGCTAAGGTCTCTGAGCATCCCCAGCAGAGCACTCTGTGCGCTGGCAGCCCTGAGGAAGAGGAGAGCAAGGGTGTGGGACCTGGCATAGAACAGCCCCCCGGATACACAGGTTTGGAGGATCTCCTGGGTCTGTGTTATTCACACCCTTGGAATCACCTCTGCTTACACAGCGCCTGCATGGGAGCAGGTATCAACACAAAGATGCAAAATAACCCAGAACAGGCAAGAAGGAGAATTCACCCTTCCCAGCTTCCCCCTTGCGTTGTGCTTGTGTTAACGCACGTGTGTATGGAGGGTTTATTCATCCGGAAGTTTCTTTGGCACCTCGCTAAAGGTCCCTGCTTTCCTGCTTGCAAATGATATCTTCTGAGATCGTTGCTCTCTCACAGGAGCATTGGGAATGTGTTTTGAGCATTGGGCAGATGCTGAGCAGTCACTGTGGCAAATCTCCATTTTAAAGACCTTTTTCTCTTTCGATTTGGAGCTTTTTCACTTTCTAGTCTAGGGTATTCTGAAGTCCCATCGAATGAGGCTCTGGGACAGCATCACTGTGTTGGCTGTAAGAGTGAAACCCCTAATAAGCCAAAGACCTTGTGTTTGACACTTGCCTTGAACAGCCAAACCTTTTCCTTCCTCCTCTCTCTCAGAGCACTGCAGCTCCAGTTGACGGCTGTAGATCAAGTTTCCGTCTGGAGCAAATGTTTATAACTGAGCAATAAACCCTAAAGACAGAGCTTTAAAATGGGAATGCTGACAAACCCAGCCGGAAGAGCAGGGCTACTGGACACGTCAATAATTAGTGCAGAGAGAAGCGTATCTGACTGCAGGCAAGGGCGCTTGCCAGCTCCCTGGTGTTGGAAGGTATCATTGCAGAGGACAGTAAATCACACTAAATCCTGCCTTAACACCCTCCACAATAAAAGCAGCACCAAGTCCCACATTTCTTCCCTTCTGGCAGGCAGCTCATTTACCCGTTTGGTTTGCTTTAGCTAATGGCTGTTAAGGCTGATCCTAAATTAATCCTAAACAGGTTGTTTCCCTCTTGTACAAAAGGACGTGGAATTCCACATTGGAGCAGGGTAGAAAAGCCAAGCGGCTCCAGATTGGGAACAGAGCTGCTGGCTTGGGAGGTTTTCCTTCTGCCCACAGAAGTGCTCACTGAGCAGGTACCCGGCAGCCTGGGCTCCTCCAGCCAGGCTGTGGTGGCAGTGCCAGCGCCCGGTGTGGTACCCAGGGAGCATCGTCCGCAGCCATCATCCCGCATGCCCTTGGGAATGCGCTGCATGGGGGAAAGGGGTGGGCAAAGGCTGCCTGAATTCACCACTTTTGGCCACATTAGGTGGAAAAGAAGCAGCAGGTCTAATCCTGCACTACAGGTATCCGGTCACCCACTGCGGGTGACTCTGCCTGTTCAGCACCAGCCTTTCCCTGGCTGGCTCTGTGTCCTGTTCTGCACAAAGCCAAAGGGAGCAGAGGAGGACCCCCGACATCTCCCAGCCCCACCATTCGAGCACATGGTTCCCCTCCCCATTCAAAACCTGCTGGTTTTTGCTCTGAGTTCCTCCCTCTCCATCTCCTGCCCTGCATCCTCCTCTGCTTCAATCAGCCAAGGAAAAGGCCTCTCCTCCATGGAAAGCCCACCCTGCCCAGGGACCACAGGGACTTCCAGGCTGGGACTGAGCTTCCAGGAGCTGCATCCCTCAGCCTGTATGGATGCAGGCAGTGGGGTTGCATCCAGCAGCTCCGGCCCTGAGCACCACAGCTTCTGTCAGACCCAGGGCTCCTGACGTTAACCCTGTGTGCAGAGGCAGGTACCAGTGCCTACAAGTTCTCAGCTGGCACAGAGGGTGCATTACTCATCCCCGGTGCCTCATCAGCCTGTGATAATATCTCAGCATAAGCAAAAAGCAAGCGAGACGCTCGCCGAGAAAGCAGAAGGAAAGCAAGAACATCCTGAAGTTGTCTCTGACGCTCCCCTGCTCCCCTGCACCCTGCTTTCACACAGAAGGCTTATCTCCTGCAGCATGATTGATAGCCTGGGCAACAGCATCCCAACACCTGCGGTCCTGGCTCCCCAGCAATGCAGTTATCCCAAGCGCCGAGCTTGCTGCGCAAACAAGTGCTCTGGTTGCAAAGACAACTATCGAGTTCCTGAGGCAGGCTGCACAAGCCGTGCTGGGGGGTCAGGCACGGGGGCACGCAGGATCATGCCTTCCATGGGGAGGCAAGAGGAACGGGAGTGATCCTGATAGGATCACCCGGGCATGCCTCTTCTCCTTGGGCAGAGCAAGCAAGCCTGGGCTTTCACAGGGCAACGCTGCTTCCTAGCCTTGCTCCGGCAGTGGCCGTGCTGGGATGCGCGTGTCCCTCCAGGAACAGCCCTGGGGAGGTCACCCCGACTTTGGTGCTGAGCCAGGGAAATGCCGTGAAGTGAAGGCAGAGCGAGATCCACGCGCCCCATCCCGCTGATGTGTCATGGGCAGCCTGCCTGCACCCCCCGTGCTGCCCAAGGCAGGTCCGGAGGGGTCTGGCAGGACCGGCTCCCTTTGTGCTCCCTAGGAACAGGGCAGGGAGGGAGCTCCCATGTGTGTCCCAGGGAGCTGCCCTGCTCTTCAGGATCTCCTTCGCTGCCTGCCGGGTTTCCTGACGCTGCACCCCATGCAGGCTTGGACATTCTGCCTCTTTGCAAGGAGCGATGCTATGCGCATGTTGGGAAATGCTCCTTTCTCATTCGCTCCCAAGGCCCTTTTTCCCCTGTTGTTTGAGGAATGCTGTTTGAATTAGCTCCACGGATTGCAAACAGACCCCGTTGTTTTCCTTTCCCAATGCAGGGAGGCTTCTGTTCTCTTTGGCCTGCTGGATTAACCAGGGGGCCTTACACGCTGACCCCTCTGCAGCTCAGGGAAGCTAATTTAATCCCAATATTGTTACAGATCACAGCAGGACGAATCTCACGGATTCCTTGAGGCAAACCAGCTCCGAGCTCCGGCAGGGACAGCAGCACACGGTGCTTGCAGAGGCAGGAGCTGCTACAGCTTTTCCTATGCAGTTGCCTTTACACAAGTTCGGATGCTGGGGAGGAGGGCAGTGTTGATGGGGCAGTGAGGGCACCCTGGGTACC